TGCACCCTTCATCATTTGATGTGCTAGTTACCGATGTCCCATCGCAGACCTCGCAGGCATCCTCACCCTATCATGCGCTATACTGACACTCCGCCAATCAGCTGTTCCGAACGTGTCTATCCTCATAGCCAATCGATCTTCCAAGCTACGCTATTGGTGTATTTTGCCCTATCAGTCATTGACACATCAAGCGACTTTGCTTGGCATATGTCCATACGTGTAGGCAATCAATTGGTGTATTGGCTTGCTTCGAAGCGGTGCTGCCCAGTTACGCCTTCGCGTACTTGTTTGCTTTTTGTGCTTATCTTTGCTTGGCTTTTGGATCGGTTTTCCGTGGTATCTACTGAAGTTTCTATTGCTTTCTTGTATAAGGAAACCGTTTGAGGTTTGTCACTTTTGGTATTTGTTGTTATTATTCAATAGCACCACAGTTGCACCGGCATTGAGTTTTTGACTTATCCCGGGGATTGCGAATCCGTTCCGGTCTTGAATTTCGATAACCGGTGGCTGCGCGTATCGCTCAAGGTTTCTAAGCGTTTTATCGCTTACAGTGCTCAAACGATTTGATTTGGTGAGCCCGGTTTGACCAACACTCGGATCGTGACTACTGGATTGAATCACTGTTTGGATTCCGCCATGCCTTTGACGAGGAGATCGGCGAATATCCTGACTTCTGTTGAAGACCCGCGGCAAGTTGAACATGTTCCCATTGTTGATGATGCCTCTTCTACTTCTGGATCGCATCATAGTGTTTTAAGTAAATCCAGCAGAATTTCGCATAAGGCGTTAAGGGCTCTTAAGCTAGCGGAACTCAAGAAATTAAAGGCTGAAACTGAGATTGAGATAGCGAAACTGCAGCTAGATGGCGGGGAGGAGTTAGATGACGTTGAGCGACTCTCCCCTGCTAAATGTAAGCAGGTGAACCGATTCTTGGAGGATTGTGGAAATAGCGTGCCGATTGAGGAGATCCATAAGCCCTTTGCAAGCCAGTCACAAGTGCCTTGTCGACCATTTGTAGAACTTCCTAAGGTCGAGCTTGAAAGTTTTGATGGTAACCCGGCTACTTATTGGAAATTTGTGAAACAGTTTGAGTACTTCGTCGAGGATAGAGTCAGTGACAGTGGTCAGCGTTTATTGTATTTGATTTATTATTGCAAGGGCAGGGCTAAAGAGGCTATCAGTGAGTGTGTTATGTTGCCCCCAGAACAGGCTTACGAGAGGGCTCGAAATATACTTCGTGAACTCTTCGGCCAGTCTCACATAGTAGCCCGGTCATTGATTGACAGCTTATTCTCCGGGTTAAGATTGTTACCTAACGACCAAGATGCGTTGTCTCGTTTGTCGCTAAAGATGGAGAATTGCTATGTTGCGCTGTCGCAGATGAACTTCACCGCAGATTTAAACTCTGTGACCACCATCGAGCGGCTGGTTCGTGCCCTGCCGGGCAGCTTGCAATCAAGGTGGGCAAGGGCAGCGGACGTAATCGTCCAAGAGGGTCGAGACGTTCTCTTCAGAGATCTCGCTGACTTTGTAGCTGCTGAAGCCCGAGTTGCCCGTAGCAGATTTGGGCAAATAGCCAACTCCAGCGCTTTGAGAAATCAAAGCACCGTGCGACCGTCCAGAGCGAAGGATAAAGAAATGGAGTACAATGTCTCCTTATATACTGTTGCTGATCAGTCCAGCCAAAATGTCTGTACAGTTTGTGACGATGTCCATAGGACGGAATCGTGCCCAAGGTTCCTGGCGTCCGAGGTTCCCGTTCGTTGGGAGCTCATCAGAACTAAGGGCGGATGCTATCGATGTCTCAATCTCGGTCACCGAGCTGTAGCTTGTCATGGGAGTAAAGGATGCGGGCGAGCCAATTGTAAGGGTAACCACCACACTCTGTTACACACAGATCGAAGGCCAAGACAAGGTTCAGGCGTATCGGACTCTCCGCCCAAGGACCCGGGCAGTTGCCACGCTGTCTCTGCTGATGCCGGGAAAATTGCTCTGGGAATTGTACCGGTGCGGCTAGAAGGACCTTTGTTTTCTGTTGAAACATACGCTTTACTTGACAGCGGCTCCGACGTAAGTCTGGTCCAGGACGATCTACTGCGAGAGGCTGGTGTTGAAATAAATCCGGTTTCGCTGAAGATGCAAACAGTGAGCGGTACTAGTTGTCTGGAATCCGGCGTCGCCAGTTTTCGTTTGCTGTCGTTGGACGGTAATGAGTCGATTGAAGTGCGACGTGCTTATTGCTTGAACCGTTTGCCCTTGCGTCCAGTCAAGGAATCTGTTAGTCAGGTAGCAGCTCGATGGCCACAGCTATCGACCGTTGATTTCCAAGGTCTGAAGGATTCCCGCGTTAGAATACTTTTGGGAGCTGATGTTCCAGAGGCACATTGGCAGATAGAACAACGACTCGGAGGTCGTGGTCAGCCCTTCGCGGCAAGGACCCTACTTGGATGGATAATGTTGGGTCCGGTAGACGGGAGCAGCCAAGCTCACGTGTCCATAAATTATGTACGAGGGGATGAGTTATCGCTGGAAGAGAGATTAAGGCCTTCGTATGACGCTGGATTCGAAGATGTTGGCTCGAACACCCGCGCACTCTCCGTTGAAGACAACGCCGCGTTGTCGATAGCGAAAACTTCCGTACGGCTTGTAGATGGGCATTTCGAAGTGGCCCTTCCTTGGAGAAACAAGAACGCGGTGGTTGCACACAATTACGAGTCTGCTCGGTACAGATTGCAGTGCTTAAGCAGACGATTGTTGAGTAATCCGGATCTCCGAGATCGATATGTGACAGCAATGAAGACGAATATCACGAAAGGTTATGCCCTTCCAGTGCCTCCTTACCAATTGCAGCCCCACTATTCTCCCATGTGGTATTTACCACACCACGCCGCTATCAATCCAAAGAAACCTGAAAAGCTTAGTGTGGTCTTTGATTGTGCCGCAAAATATAGAGGGGTTTCTCTAAACGACCAGTTGTTGCAAGGTCCCGATACCACTGCGGACTTGGTCAGTATACTGCTGCGCTTCAGGGCTGAGAGAGTAGCTATATCCGCTGACATTGAAGATATGTTCATGCAAGTGAAAGTGCCGGAAGCTGACAGGGGCGCGTTACGTTTTCTTTGGTGGAAAAATGACGATATCGGTTCAGAAGTGATGGAATATCAGATGACAGCGCATCCCTTTGGCGCGACTTCATCCCCATTCTGCGCTAATTTTGCCTTGTGCCAAACCGCCGTTATGTGGGGACCTCACTACAATGCCAATGTGGCGGCGGTGGTCCGCCATAATTTTTGTGTCGATGACCTTTCGATTGCGTTGCCGTCGGTGTCGGAAGCCATACCTTTTGTAGCCCAAATCAGAGAGATGTTGAATAAGATCGGGTATGGCGCAGTCGCGTACGTCAGATTTCGCGCTGGCGATCTCACACTGTGTTCTTTACTCTATTCGAAGTCTAGAGTAGCGCCACTGAAAGCTATCTCTAAACCACGGCTGGAGTTGTCTGCGGCAGTTCTCGCTATCCGAGTGTTTGAGAGCGTTCGTGAAAGGGCCCAAATGAAATTCGAGCGATTTTGGTTTTGGACCGACTCCACCACAGTTTTATATTACATTAACAACACGTCTGGCAGGTTCAGCACTTTTGTGGCCAGTCGACTGTCGACCATTCACGCGTTTTCGACACCCTGTCAGTGGAGATCCGTTAATTCCGGATGTAATCCTGCTGATCCGTTATCGAGAGGCGCGTACTCCACGGTGCGATTGGATATTTGGTTTAGAGGACCGCGGTTCTTGGCGAGCGACGAAGATGAATGGCCTAATTTCGCTCCACTGGTCGAGCCTGATGAAGTTGAATTTAAGCGTTCGACTGTCCAAGTATTTGCCACTTCAAGCGAGACACCACTGTCCGCCTTGCTTCGCGAGTGCTCTGATTGGATTAAATTGTTAAGGTCAGTCGTGTGGCTTACACGATTCGTGAGGTATTTGAAGAATCGCGTATACGGAACCGATAATGACACACGGCGTACGGTGTTGATCACTCTTGATGAATTCAACAAGGCAGAGGTTGACGTTATTAGAATGACGCAGAACGAAGTTTACGGAGCTGAGTTAAAACGACTTGAAGATGCTAACGAAGGAGCGTCGACTCTTAGAAGCATAGCGCGCCGGAGCGGTCTGATGCGACTTTGTCCCATACTACGTGGAGGGTTGCTGTGTCTGGGAGGAAGATTGGCTTATTCGGAATATAAAAATTCCTTCAAGTTTCCTGCAATATTACCTCCAAGCATCCAGTGACTGCATTGTTTTGGAAAAGATGGATTAGAGAATATTTGCCGGTGTTGCAAGCTAGACAGAAATGGCTATATCCGCGCCGGAATTTCAGGCCAGGAGACGTTGTTTTAGTCGCTTCTGAAGCTATCACGCGCAGTGTGTGGCCCCTAGGCATCGTAGACAGATGTGTGACCTCGGAAGATGGGCTCGTCAGGACAGTGCTGGTCAAGACGAGGGAGGGTTTAGTCAATTGGGATGTGAGAGAACTTTGTTTGTTAGAGGGTAGCGGTTCGGAGGAGGGTGTAGTTCCGGCTGTTGACTCTCCGCAGGCGGGAGACGGGTTTTCGGACCTGTCGCACCAGGGAGGACCGCTGTGAGTTCAACAGTCGAAGTGGGAGGCCTCTGGCGTACCGGTGTAAGTCCTTTGGCCTCCCAGCGTGGATGGAGCGGAAGGGATAGGCGATCCAGAGTAGAATGCATCGCGATCCTATGAAAATCCTGACCGGATTTGGCGGGGAGTGTATCAGAGAGCTCAATTTGTCCAGTCGTTTGGAACTCTCACCACATTGTTTCTCTACAACTCCTTATTATGGACAGCCCATTTCCCTTTGAATGTGCCAGGACCCCGGCTGCTTGTTTTACCTACCCCTTGAACATTGATAAACCATTCGACTTTGTTCCTCTAACCCACATTTCGCTTTTGCACCCTTCATCATTTGATGTGCTAGTTACCGATGTCCCATCGCAGACCTCGCAGGCATCCTCACCCTATCATGCGCTATACTGACACTCCGCCAATCAGCTGTTCCGAACGTGTCTATCCTCATAGCCAATCGATCTTCCAAGCTACGCTATTGGTGTATTTTGCCCTATCAGTCATTGACACATCAAGCGACTTTGCTTGGCATATGTCCATACGTGTAGGCAATCAATTGGTGTATTGGCTTGCTTCGAAGCGGTGCTGCCCAGTTACGCCTTCGCGTACTTGTTTGCTTTTTGTGCTTATCTTTGCTTGGCTTTTGGATCGGTTTTCCGTGGTATCTACTGAAGTTTCTATTGCTTTCTTGTATAAGGAAACCGTTTGAGGTTTGTCACTTTTGGTATTTGTTGTTATTATTCAATAGCACCACAGTTGCACCGGCATTGAGTTTTTGACTTATCCCGGGGATTGCGAATCCGTTCCGGTCTTGAATTTCGATAACCGGTGGCTGCGCGTATCGCTCAAGGTTTCTAAGCGTTTTATCGCTTACAGTGCTCAAACGATTTGATTTGGTGAGCCCGGTTTGACCAACACTCGGATCTTGACTACTGGATTGAATCAACGTTTGGATTCCGCTATGCCTTTGACGAGGAGATCGGCGAATATCCTGACTTCTGTTGAAGACCCGCGGCAAGTTGAACATGTTCCCATTGTTGATGATGCCTCTTCTACTTCTGGATCGCATCATAGTGTTTTAAGTAAATCCAGCAGAATTTCGCATAAGGCGTTAAGGGCTCTTAAGCTAGCGGAACTCAAGAAATTAAAGGCTGAAACTGAGATTGAGATAGCGAAACTGCAGCTAGATGGCGGGGAGGAGTTAGATGAGGTTGAGCGACTCTCCCCTGCTAAATGTAAGCAGGTGAACAGATTCTTGGAGGATTGTGGAAATAGCGTGCCGATTGAGGAGATCCATAAGCCCTTTACAAGCCAGTCACAAGTGCCTTGTCGACCATTTGTAGAACTTCCTAAGGTCGAGCTTGAAAGTTTTGATGGTAACCCGGCTACTTATTGGAAATTTGTGAAACAGTTTGAGTACTTCGTCGAGGATAGAGTCAGTGACAGTGGTCAGCGTTTATTGTATTTGATTTATTATTGCAAGGGCAGGGCTAAAGAGGCTATCAGTGAGTGTGTTATGTTGCCCCCAGAACAGGCTTACGAGAGGGCTCGAAACATACTTCGTGAACTCTTCGGCCAGTCTCACATAGTAGCCCGGTCATTGATTGACAGCTTATTCTCCGGGTTAAGATTGTTACCTAACGACCAAGATGCGTTGTCTCGTTTGTCGCTAAAGATGGAGAATTGCTATGTTGCGCTGTCGCAGATGAACTTCACCGCAGATTTAAACTCTGTGACCACCATCGAGCGGCTGGTTCGTGCCCTGCCGGGCAGCTTGCAATCAAGGTGGGCAAGGGCAGCGGACGTAATCGTCCAAGAGGGTCGAGACGTTCTCTTCAGAGATCTCGCTGACTTTGTAGCTGCCGAAGCCCGAGTTGCCCGTAGCAGATTTGGGCAAATAGCCAACTCCAGCGCTTTGAGAAATCAAAGCACCGTGCGACCGTCCAGAGCGAAGGATAAAGAAATGGAGTACAATGTCGCCTTATATACTGTTGCTGATCAGTCCAGCCAAAATGTCTGTACAGTTTGTGACGATGTCCATAGGACGGAATCGTGCCCAAGGTTCCTGGCGTCCGAGGTTCCCGTTCGTTGGGAGCTCATCAGAACTAAGGGCGGATGCTATCGATGTCTCAATCTCGGTCACCGAGCTGTAGCTTGTCATGGGAGTAAAGGATGCGGGCGAGCCAATTGTAAGGGTAACCACCACACTCTGTTACACACAGATCGAAGGCCAAGACAAGGGGCAGGCGTATCGGACTCTCCGCCCAAGGACCCGGGCAGTTGCCACGCTGTCTCTGCTGATGCCGGGAAAATTGCTCTGGGAATTGTACCGGTGCGGCTAGAAGGACCTTTGTTTTCTGTTGAAACATACGCTTTACTTGACAGCGGCTCCGACGTTAGTCTGGTCCAGGACGATCTACTGCGAGAGGCTGGTGTTGAAATAAATCCGGTTTCGCTGAAGATGCAAACAGTGAGCGGTACTAGTTGTCTGGAATCCGGCGTCGCCAGTTTTCGTTTGCTGTCGTTGGACGGTAATGAGTCGATTGAAGTGCGACGTGCTTATTGCTTGAACCGTTTGCCCTTGCGTCCAGTCAAGGAATCTGTTAGTCAGGTAGCAGCTCGATGGCCACAGCTATCGACCGTTGATTTCCAAGAGCTGAAGGATTCCCGCGTTAGAATACTTTTGGGAGCTGATGTTCCAGAGGCACATTGGCAGATAGAACAACGACTCGGAGGTCGTGGTCAGCCCTTCGCGACAAGGACCCTACTTGGATGGATAATGTTGGGTCCGGTAGACGGGAGCAGCCAAGCTCACGTGTCCATAAATTATGTACGAGGGGATGAGTTATCGCTGGAAGAGAGATTAAGGCCTTCGTATGACGCTGGATTCGAAGATGTTGACTCGAACACCCGCGCACTCTCCGTTGAAGACAACGCCGCGTTGTCGATAGCGAAAACTTCCGTACGGCTTGTAGATGGGCATTTCGAAGTGGCCCTTCCTTGGAGAAACAAGAACGCGGTGGTTGCACACAATTACGAGTCTGCTCGGTACAGATTGCAGTGCTTAAGCAGACGATTGTTGAGTAATCCGGATCTCCGAGATCGATATGTGACAGCAATGAAGACGAATATCACGAAAGGTTATGCCGTTCCAGTGCCTCCTTACCAATTGCAGCCCCACTATTCTCCCATGTGGTATTTACCACACCACGCCGCTATCAATCCAAAGAAACCTGAAAAGCTTAGTGTGGTCTTTGATTGTGCCGCAAAATATAGAGGGGTTTCTCTAAACGACCAGTTGTTGCAAGGTCCCGATACCACTGCGGACTTGGTCAGTATACTGCTGCGCTTCAGGGCTGAGAGAGTAGCTATATCCGCTGACATTGAAGATATGTTCATGCAAGTGAAAGTGCCGGAAGCTGACAGGGGCGCGTTACGTTTTCTTTGGTGGAAAAATGACGATATCGGTTCAGAAGTGATGGAATATCAGATGACAGCGCATCCCTTTGGCGCGACTTCATCCCCTTTCTGCGCTAATTTTGCCTTGTGCCAAACCGCCGTTATGTGGGGACCTCACTACAATGCCAATGTGGCGGCGGTGGTCCGCCATAATTTTTGTGTCGATGACCTTTCGATTGCGTTGCCGTCGGTGTCCGAAGCCATACCTTTTGTAGCCCAAATCAGAGAGATGTTGAATAAGATCGGGTATGGCGCAGTCGCGTACGTCAGATTTCGCGCTGGCGATCTCACACTGTGTTCTTTACTCTATTCGAAGTCTAGAGTAGCGCCACTGAAAGCTATCTCTAAACCACGGCTGGAGTTGTCTGCGGCAGTTCTCGCTATCCGAGTGTTTGAGAGCGTTCGTGAAAGGGCCCAAATGAAATTCGAGCGATTTTGGTTTTGGACCGACTCCACCATAGTTTTATATTACATTAACAACACGTCTGGCAGGTTCAGCACTTTTGTGGCCAGTCGACTGTCGACCATTCACGCGTTTTCGACACCCTGTCAGTGGAGATCCGTTAATTCCGGATGTAATCCTGCTGATCCGTTATCGAGAGGCGCGTACTCCACGGTGCGATTGGATATTTGGTTTAGAGGACCGCGGTTCTTGGCGAGCGACGAAGATGAATGGCCTAATTTCGCTCCACTGGTCGAGCCTGATGAAGTTGAATTTAAGCGTTCGACTGTCCAAGTATTTGCCACTTCAAGCGAGACACCACTGTCCGCCTTGCTTCGCGAGTGCTCTGATTGGATTAAATTGTTAAGGTCAGTCGTGTGGCTTACACGATTCGTGAGGTATTTGAAGAATCGCGTATACGGAACCGATAATGACACACGGCGTACGGTGTTGATCACTCTTGATGAATTCAACAAGGCAGAGGTTGACGTTATTAGGATGACGCAGAACGAAGTTTACGGAGCTGAGTTAAAACGGCTTGAAGATGCTAAAGAAGGAGCGTCGACTCTTAGAAGCATAGCGCGCCGGAGCGGTCTGATGCGACTTTGTCCCCTACTACGTGGAGGGTTGCTGTGTCTGGGAGGGAGATTGGCTTATTCGGAATATAAAAATTCCTTCAAGTTTCCTGCAATATTACCTCCCAAGCATCCAGTGACTGCATTGTTTTGGAAAAGATGGATTAGAGAATATTTGCCGGTGTTGCAAGCTAGACAGAAATGGCTATATCCGCGCCGGAATTTCAGGCCAGGAGACGTTGTTTTAGTCGCTTCTGAAGCTATCACGCGCAGTGTGTGGCCCCTAGGCATCGTAGACAGATGTGTGACCTCAGAAGATAGGCTCGTCAGAACAGTGCTGGTCAAGACGAAGGAGGGTTTAGTCAAGAAGGATGTGAGAAAAATTTGTTTGTTAGAGGGCAGCGGTTCTGAGGAGGGTGTAGTTCCGGCTGTTGACTCTCCGCAGGCGGGAGACGGGTTTTCGAGCCTGTCGCACCAGGGAGGACCGCTGTGAGTTCAACAGTCGAAGAGGGAGGCCTCTGGCGTACCGATGTAAGTCCTTTGGCCTCCCAGCGTGGATGGAGCGGAAGGGATAGGCGATCCAGAGTAGAATTCATCGCGATCCTATGAAAATCCTGACCGGATTTTGGCGGGGAGTGTATCAGAGAGCTCAATTTGTCCAGTCGTTTGGAACTCTCACCACATTGTTTCTCTACAACTCCCTATTATGGACAGCCCATTTCCCTTTGAATGTGCCAGGACCCCGGCTGCTTGTTTTACCTACCCCTTGAACATTGATAAACCATTCGACTTTGTTCCTCTAACCCACATTTCGCTTTTGCACCCTTCATCATGTGATGTGCTAGTTACCGATGTCCCATCGCAGACCTCGCAGGCATCCTCACCCTATCATGCGCTATACTGACACTCCGCCAATCAGCTGTTCCGAACGTGTCTATCCTCATAGCCAATCGATCTTCCAAGCTACGCTATTGGTGTATTTTGCCCTATCAGTCATTGACACATCAAGCGACTTTGCTTGGCATATGTCCATACGTGTAGGCAATCAATTGGTGTATTGGCTTGCTTCGAAGCGGTGCTGCCCAGTTACGCCTTCGCGTACTTGTTTGCTTTTTGTGCTTATCTTTGCTTGGCTTTTGGATCGGTTTTCCGTGGTACCTACTGAAGTTCCTATTGCTTTCTTGTATAAGGAAACCGTTTGAGGTTTGTCACTTTTGGTATTTGTTGTTATTA